CCGCCAACCTCTTGCAGACAATTTTCTTTATTCTTTTTAAAAGTTGTCCACCTTGTGGTAGTAACATCTACTGTCAAACGCATGCGTTTTATCTAGCCAAATGTCTGTCTTCATACACATGCGTATTACACGAGACTATTACCACAAGGTAGTCAATTTTTGCAATTACTGAAACACTACCTTTGCACATTAAACATGGTTGGGAACGGAGGCGCATCTACCCCCAATTCTTGTTTCTTCTCGGAAGGTTGACAATTGTTTGGTTTTTTGGTCATTCTTCATGAATTCTATGAAGGGAAAAATAAAGAAATAAGTATGAGCCACAATATAATAGTATAATACACGACATGTTGTAATTGTATACATAAAAAAGTTTTGTACAATCGGACATTCGTTGGACAAAGCACAACAACAAAACAATGAATATGTACGCAATGAAACAATGAAATAAACTCACCTCAATAACAAATCTCTATTCAGCTGTAATTAAGCTCAACACGTGTCCCTCATGACCTTTTTAACTTTGTAACCTCGGTACCTTAAACAGGAAAAGAAAGTGCACGGTGTCGTTAAACGATACTGAGTTTTCTTTTTCGGTTTTTGTTTTAATTTTTGAGGTGCCCAACGGCTTAACCTGCATTGCACATGTACACTTGTAAATCTCTCGAAAACATGAAACATCATTTGAACTTTCGCATAATCAAAAAGACGAAAATATGAATAGATCTATTACGTGTGGCTTTTCACACACAAGAAAAACGAAGACTCCAAGTGAGGTCCTCAGAAGTAATTTTTAAGAGGATTTGAAATCGAGTTTTAAGTCAGAACAATGAGGCGGTTTATCATTCCTATAGAAATGACGACAAATTTAATTTCCTAATTCTCACCGATTGTGAGAAAATAACAGCGTAATTGGACGTCTATCTTCCTGTACGGAAACGAAATTCCCAGACATTTTCCTAACTCTAATTTTTTTTTCCTCGAACTTTCCCTGATCAGTCGCGGTAAGTCAAATGTCGTGCTTTGTAGGTTTAAAAAAGAAAGGATCTGATCATGAAAGCGTAACCGCTTAAAAAATCAATTGTTGAGTTTTAGAAGAAATAAATGAGATTTCGATGCTGTGTAGAGAACCTTGAAAAAAGTAACAAGGTCAAAAGTTCTGGGAGAACCTGCAATTTACGCTTCCTATGAGTTTGGGGCGGATTTTTAGGTGATCATTTGCTCTCTAACTATTTTTTGAGAGAGAATTGCGACTGAATCAAATCATCGTCGAGAGATAAAACGTACGCCAAGTAAGCTTATCATATTTCTCGGTTAGTACGTACGCTATGATTGGTCAATTTAGTGGCCGTAGTTTGCAGTACGGCCCACTAAATTTAACAGTTTGTCTGAATTGAAATCTCCCCCTCTATTTGAACCAGGAGATGTACTAAATATCTCACTAACCGCGTTTTCTCGGTACGTCTCTAAGTTAGGGAGCCTCGTTTTTTCTGCTCGGATTTATGGCGCGCGGGAAATACATCTGAGCAAGTGACCTCAAGTTAATTCCATAATGGTGAAATAATTTGTTCAACACCTTCTTACACCGAAAAAAGCTCTAAAATTTTTAATTTTATTAGTTGGCCGTAAGTAAGCTGTTTTGCTTTGCTACACGCTGATCGCGGATTGACGTATCAATCGTGAGATTTTCTTGAAGAGCTGCGCGTGAGCCGTAAACTGAACTCGTAACACTAGGACAGCACTTAAAGAAAATGCGATTGTTCTTACATTCCACCCTAGCGAGAAAATAAACTCTGATTGACTGAACCTGGGCTGCCAGGTAACACGCCCAGCTCTGAGACATTGAATACCAAAATACCTAAAATGATGCTTCTGTGTTGTGTGCTTCTGCTTCAACTGATCACGTGCAGCTTCTCAATGCTAACAAACCACTCGCCTTGGACACCTCATGGAGGCGATCATAATCCACTGAAATCCAAGACGTAAATATACATCCAATTTCCCACTTTCCCTTGAATCCTATGTCAAACCAAAAGATACAAAAATCAACTTTACCTTTTTATTTCCTTTTATTTTAAGTTTTAATGTATGAAATATTATCTAAAATGAGTTACCTTTTAATCTTTTCTATATTTTTTTTTGAACGATACCGACTCCTAGGTGGGTCAACCCTTAATCAACCATCTCTTGAACAAAGTTAAACACCCGATCAGCG